GTTATGAAAATACCCTTCCTCTAAATGGTGAGCAACAAAATAAGTTAGAAATGATTAGAAATAGATTTCCTAACTTCGAGAAAGAATGCTTAGGTAAAACATCGCTCAGTGAGTATGTTATAGAGCTCCAACCTGGTGTCCGTCCGATTAAACAGAGATATTTTCCGATCTCACCTGCCGTGGAAAAACTTGTACATGCAGAAATTGATGAAATGCTGCTTGGTGTAATCGAAGAGTCTCCAAATAGTCCATGGTCCAGTCCGATTGCTCTAGTGAAAAAGCCAAATAAAGCCCGTCTGTGTTTAGATTCTAGGAAAGTTAATAGCGTTACAATAAAGGACGCATATCCCCTTCTTCATATTGATGGTATTTTAAGTAGGATACCTTAGGCAAAGTATATTAGTTCACTAGACTTGCGTCGAGCCTTTTGGCAGATACCTCTTGTAGAAAATTCCCGAGCCTACACTTGTTTTACTGTTCCAAATCGTCCGCTTTATCGTTACTGTGTAATGCCTTTCGGCTTATGCAACGCTCCTCAAGCGCTTTGCCGTTTGATGGATCGCGTCATTCCTCCCGTGTTAAAGAATCAAGTTTCCGTTTATTTAGACGATCTCCTAATTGTGTCCGAAGATTTCGACACACACATGTCCGTTTTGTCCGAGGTTGCTAACCATTTGAGAAAAGCCGGTTTGACAATAAATATTGAAAAAAGGAAATTTTGTATCAAAGAGGTAAAATATTTAGGATACATAGTGGGTGATGGATCTTTACGAGCTGACCCTGACAAAATCTTCGCTGTGACGAACTACCCGGTGCCAACCACCGTAAAGCAACTGAGACGGTTTTTGGGAATGGCTGGATGGTATAGGGGATTTATTGATAACTTTGCGTCGATCACTATGCCATTGACCAATCGGTCGAAGAAAGGTAAATCATTCTCATGAACCGAAGACGCCCAAAAAGCATTCGAAAAATTGAAGCAAATGCTATGTTCTGCACCAGTTCTGGCAAGTCCGAACTATGAGAAACCTTTCATAATTCAGTGTGACGCCAGTAAGCTCGGTGTTGGTGCGGTGCTGTTACAGAAAAATGACGAAGACCTTGAGGTCCCTATTGCTTACTTTTCGCAAAAACTTAATAAATCGCAGAGTAATTATAGCGTCAATGATTTAGAGTGTCTGGCAGCAATACTCAGTTTAAAGAAGTTTAGAGCACGCCATCTTACAATGGCTTATGCGGCAAACCGATTTGTCCAGTAGACTAGCCAGGTGGGCACTTAAATTTCAGGGTTACCGTTTCCAAATAGAACATAGGAAAGGATCACTTAATGTTGTTCCTGATAGCCTATCTCGGCAGAATTTTGATGAGGTGAATGAAATAGAAGTCCGTCCGTTGGTAAGTTGTTAAGTTATGTCCGAGATAATGCAAACCATCTTCCTGACCTACAAATAGTTAATGATCTTGTGTACAAGCGAACCGAACATCCAGATGGATCTCCAGAACGTGAAGCTTTCAACTGGAAGCTCTGGCTTCCGAAAACCCTCGCCCAACAGATAATTGAAAACGCTCACTCTCCGCCTAACAAATGTCACGGAGGCATCGCGAAAACATTAGAGCGTTTGCGCTTAAACTTTTATTAACCAAACATGACCGTCGACGTAAAAGAATATGTTGGCCGGTGCGATATTTGTAGACAAAGCAAAGCGCCTAACGTTGTCCTTCGTCCACCCATGTCCGTCCAATATACAGTCCAACGTCCTTTCGAGAAATTGTATGTATATTTACTTGGTCCATAGCCCAGATCCAAGGAAGGAAATATTGGTATTTTCATCGTCCTTGATCACCTCACACAATTTCCGCCAATGAAGACTATTAGAAACTTCAATACACCCACAAATTTATAGTTTCCTTAAAGAGAAAGAGAAAGTATGTTGTGTATTCGAAACTCCAGAAATTATATTAAGTGACAACGGCAAACAATTTAAGTCCTCGCTGTTCAACAACCTGCTGGCAGAACGAGGCATTAGGCATGTATATACCGCCCTATATAGCCCGAAGGCAAACGTTAGTGAGCGGGTCAACCGTTCCATTGTTGCAGGAATAAGGTCGTACCTTAGAGAAGATCAGACGCTCTGGGATAAGCAGTTACCTGATATTGCAGAAGCACTCAGAAGATCATTCCACCAGACAATTGGATGCACCCCCTATTATGCTTTGTTTGGTCAGCAAATGTTAGCACACGCCGATGAATATGAGATATTACGAAAATTAGAGTCGCTAGACGAAAACCTCACCGACAGGACAGACAGACTTAAGCTCATACGAAAATCACTACAAGAAAGCATCAAGAAAGCATTCGAAAACTCGTCAAAACGTTACCATTTTCGCAGTACCGTAAAGACCTTTAATGTAGGAGACATCGTTTACCGCCGAAATGTTGTATTAAGCGACGCGATTAAAAGGTTTTGCGCAAAGCTAGCGCTCAAATTTCTAAAGGCCAAGGTGATCGCAGTGAAAAGCAACTACATGTATGAGCTAGAAGATGATGCCAATAAAAAGCGAGCAGTTTACCATGGGAAAGATATTATAGAAGGCAAAGGTGGACACAACACCGCACCAACAATCTAGATGGGGGGTGTGTACCGTGGGTATATACATTTATGATTTCCTTTTATATTAACGACTCATATTTACATATAAATCACTATTAGTTTCGACACAAGATTTTCTTTAAGTTTGGTTTCAATACTATTCGCCACTACTGTAACTGAAGTAAACATTAAACATAGCGTAGAAATTTCCCTTAAGCCTTGCTTAACATATGGCATTCGATAACGATTTATCGATATCATTTTTGCTAAACACCCAAACTTAGGCACAACTTCCGCGTAAATCTTTCTTTCTTTTCCTTGGTGACCGGCTTACAGCGTGCAAGCGTACGACTACATAAAAGTCAAAACTTAAAGTTTTTATTAAATTCAAAGTACAGTTTGGGTGTTAACATTTTTTTACAAAAGCCACAGTACGGCCATCCAGGGCCAGGATTATCAATTTTAATCCACTTCGTTGTACCGGTAAGAATTTCTGCATTCTTTAGTTTCTAAAATCAAAGGGAAATCACGTGTGAGTTAAGTAAATACTAATTGCGAAATCGCGTTCCAGATACCTTCCTTTTTAACCATTTTTGAACCGATAATCCAACTGAAGCGGAAATCGTGAAGTTTTAAAGGCATCAGCTAAAAAAAAAAAGAAAAAAAGAAGCACGTCGCAGATGAAGGCAGTAGCATCGATAAAAGTGCTCCAGAAGGTCTACAGAGAATCCCCAAAAAGATTTCACCAAAATAAATTGGTCCAGAACAAGTAAAAAAGGCACAGGTCTTGACTTCACAAGTCGGTTATATAGTTCTTCTACATACATACAAACACATATGTATGTATAAAGCCGGGTTGAACCGTCGTAGCTTTACATAAAGTATATTTCAAAATTTCTGATAAGCCAGTTCCACTTTTTTGTATCAAGTATTTATCAGTAAAACATCCTGGCTGCGAAACCATATAGGAAATGTATACCTAGAACCTATAAAAGAAAGATACAAAAAACAAAAAAAGAAGGAAAAAGGAAAAAATGAATTAAAAGTACTTACCTTAGTATACTTACCTACTTACCTCTAAGCTTATAAAATGAATTAAATAAACGTCCACGTGAGATTAATTTGCTAAAATCTTAGATTTTCATCATAAATTAGTTCTAGTTTGAGTTACTAGTAAATACAAGTTAACT